CCCTGTCCAGTCATCACAGCCAAAGGCAGTGCTGTGTGACAAAATGGCTTTTATTTCCAGTCCTCAGAGCCATCCCAAATGGGCTTGTTTTTTTTTAAGCTTCTGACATAATTCTAATCACGGGGAGGGGGAGTAGGGGGTGAATTACCTCTTACATATGCAAAGTGATTAAATGAGGTTTCTGATTAGTAAGCAAGGCAGGTGGGCAGAGTAATTGGCTAGAACGTCATTCACTGCCCTCTGCTGGACAGAAACGGCAAAACAAGCCAAGCGTTTTCCTCCAAGGGCTCCCGGGTCCTGGCTGGGTTTTATTTAACTGGAGAGAGGGGAACCCAGGCCTGATATTCCCTGAGTCCTAACCCTCAATGATTAAAAGTTAATTGGCTCATCAATTGCAATTCTACTGCTGTCTTTCTGCACCAACTGAGTGAAGATGACAGCTGGCGTTTCTCTCTGCAAAGCCGTGCCAGGACCTCACTGCTCCCCTGTATCAAAGAAAGGAAAGCAATGGGCTTTGGCAAAGAAAGCAGAAGGCAGAGTAAGTCCAACCATAGGGGCAGGGTCCTTGTCATTAGGCATTTGTCTCCAGCACTTTGGGGAACTTGTCTAGCACACTAATAATGCCTGTTTTACCTAAGAGTTCCCCTGTGCCAGACAAGAGTTTTATGTGCCTTATCTCACAAAAGCCTCATAAAATCACTCTGGGAGGGACAGTATTATTATGCCCATTTTACAGATGGAAAAACAGAGGCTCAGCAAAGTTAAGTCCCTTACCCAAGTTCACTCAGTAAAGGAGAGATGCATCTGGAATGTGAACCTCTTTATGTCTGAGGCTAAGGCTCTTAGTGATTACGTGTGTGCCCTCACAGCCTCTCAAAATCAAAGAGTTCGGGAACTTTATAAAGTTCTGTTGTATTTCATCTTTTCACGATGGGTAAGTGTTATTTTGTAATCAGAAAAAAACAACATAGCTATTTGTGTCATTTTCTTAAGGTATGTAAAACTTAGGGTGCAAAATCAGTCCCGTTAGTGCAAAAGAAAAAAATCAATTACTTTTTGTTTCATCAGCACAAAAGGACTTCTAAAAGTAATACATGCTCATGATTAAAAAAAAAGTAAACCAATTAGTACAAATGAGTCTATAAAAAGAAGTACAGCCACCCCATCCTTGTTCTCAGTTCTTTTCCTCAGAGACAACCCATGTTCTCAGTTTGCTGACTCCCCCCAGAAACGTTCTATGCATATACAAAGTAAGTGGACGCATCCAAAAGGGTTTTTAAATACTTTCATAATCATCTATAGCTACTTTTTAATTAATTACCTATCAACTGTAGTAAGCACCGTGATACCCTCCTTCTGCAAATGAACCAGTTTACAAGGTTTGATGTGGGGAAAGCCCAAAGAGCTGGAGGCAGATGGCGGTGGGCGGTCAATGTCCCAGACAACCAGCTTGCCTTCCATGGTCGCCGACAGTATTTGGGTTAAATTCAAATGAAAGACGGATTGGCTAAATTTTCCCACGAGCTTGTTGAATGTCTGCATTTCAAGAGAGGGTTATAAGTTACCGTTAGTAATAAATATAAAACAAAGCATTTATCAACATGGTGTCTTATTATACCTAAATACAGTAGGAAAAAAATAAAGTAAAAAAAATTACTAAGAATATGAAAATGAATATATGTCTGCATATACATGACTGGGGTACTGTGCTGTACACCAGAAATTGACACACTATAACTGAATGTACTTCAATTTTTAAAAATCACTAAAAAAATCACTAAAAAACTCTTTCCCCATCAAACCCTATCATGGTCCAGGCGGTTGTGAACCTCTGAAGATTTGCTAAGGGCAAGTAAAGGGTTATGTACCAGCTTAATTAAACTGTTTGCTTAAAGCAGATGAAAGAGTGGTTAATCACCGTTTATACCTGTTCAACTTCTCTTTCTGAGGTTTCAGAGACTGACAAAGAAACTAATATCCGTCTGGAACAAAAGCGTGTGTCAGCTGTAAAATATCATAAAACAATTCTCCTAGTCTCCTTTTGATCATAAATTATTTTCCCATCAGTGGAAATTAAATACTGTACCTAGAAATGCTCCTAAGACTCCTTGTTAAACGTGCACTGAATAAAATAAGGCACAAGGCCATCTTTCCTAGACAGTGTCTTAGAGACAAAGTATAGGAAGAACCCAGAGCCATGAGGGAAGCCCCTCAGTGAATGGCCAGCGAGTGAACACGTGAAGTGCAGCGATCTGTCCTACGATACAGTAGGTCTGCTGCCCGACTCACTGACAAGGCAGAGAAGACGCTAGGATGCAGCTCTTCTGACTTGAGCAGGAGAGGGTCGGTGGAATCACAACTGGTCAAGCAAGGGCATCAAGTTCTTTCTAAGAACAGCCCCATTTCAACACGAGGCATTTTTTTAACGATTGCAAACGGCAGCCGATCCTCACTACTTGTGGATGCCGTATTTGCGAATTTACCTACTTGCTAAAATGTGTTTGCAACCCCGAAATCACTCCTCGTGCACTCTGACAAGCATTTGCAGATGCGTGTGTGAAAAGTTTGACGTTCCCAACTGAGGCCAAGCAAGGCAGCTCTCTGCATTCTCACTCCAGCTCTCCGACGGGAAACCAGTGTCCTCTTTCTGGTCTGTTTAGTGCTGCGATGCTCGCATTTTGGGGGGCGGGGTGTTTTTGTTGGTGATTTTGGTATTTAAATTGGCCCCCAAGCATGGTACTGAAACACTGTCTAGTGTTCCTAGGCACTGGGGGGCTGAGAGGTGCCTTACAGAGAATACATCTGCGTTAGGTAAGCACACTCGGGCATGAGTTCTGGGGCCGCTGGCTGTGAGTCCAATGTTAAGGAGCCAGCGTTATATATTAAACACGGTGTGTTTGAACAGAAACATGCATGAAACAAGGTTATGTATCTGTCAGCTGATGAAAGTACTGTGATCCCGGGGCTGGCAGGAGGCTGTTCGTGGACTTCTCATAGGAGCATCATCCAGTATTCACTAATGCAGGTCTGCAGGGACCTTAGAGAACATGATTGCCACAAATAATGAGAACTGGCTGTATTTATTTTTTGATTCTTTGATTTGTGAAAACCAGAGTCTGAAGACAGAGTAATCTTGCCTTGTGTCCAACATGTCTCTCTCTCTTCTTTTTTTTTTTCCATTTGGCGTGCCCTCTTGAAAAATACAGCTTTAGAAATCAAACCAGAAGTGAAGCAAGGAAGCAGATACATCACCGTAAGGTGCACACTGAGCGCAGTTTACGTGAGTATCAAAAGCAGAAAGTGCTCAGGAGACAGGACTGGCGCTCCACCTCAGGTGCCCTACCTCCAGGCAGGCAGGCAAGATAAAACGTCTCCTCCAGCATCTGGCTGACCACCTTTCTGTGGGCTCTTAACCATCTAAATACTCAATATCTTTTTTTTTAATTGCTCTGAAAACTGACCAGCTTAAAAGGGATCCACTTATGTTCAACTACACTATTCACATCACCCACAGTCAGCATTTATTCTCTGTCATATGCACACACACATTATAAAAGCCATCACTCTCCAGGATATTTTCTCATGATAGTAAACTTTCTTTTCTATTTATTTTTATTCCATATTATTTCAAAAGATATCTCCATTATGTCCGACTGACCATTCAGGATGGTAAAGGACCTAAGGAAAAAAGTTCAGATTCTTTCCCAACGGTTTCAAATCAAGAGACACAAACAGCAGCCCAAAGTAACTAAGCTTACACATGCTCATCCTCCACAGAGTCAGACGTACAAAGGCACAACGGGCATACTCACCTTTCCCGTTAAAAGTGGGGCACTGTGAGCAAGTATATCTCCCTCTTCATACTGAGAAAAACAGAAAAAAAATAATCACTACCCAAAAAAAGACCTGGTTTCCAAAAGGAGAACTACAGAACAGCAAAATCAAAACAAAGGCATCTAAACAGCATCAGAGCTTTGCAATTTCTGCAGGGAGGAGAACCTGCTGCCTTCAGGGGCATCTAAAAGCCTTCTGAAATGATTGTGACTCTAAGTGGTAGTTAGTGCAAATCTGAATTCTACATGTATAAGGCTTTAAACCAGTAATTAATACCTGAAGTAATGAGAATCACTGAAAATCAGTGATTCAGTGTGTTTTTGTTTTGCATTTTTTATTGAGATAAAGTTCACATTACATAAAATTAACCATTAACCATTTTAAATTGTACAAGTCGGCGGCATTAACACTGCTGTGCAACCATCATTCTACCTAATCCAAAAGGAAGCTCCTTCTCCACTGAGCAGTCATGCCCCTCCCTCCCCTCCCCCAGCCCCTGACAATGACCAGTCTGCATTCTGACTCTGTGGATTTACCTATTCAGGACATTTCACATCAACGGAATCATACAATTTGTGGCTCTTTGTGTCCAGCTTCTCTCACGCGGCATCGCGCTCTCAAGCTTCACCCACGTGGCAGCCTGTGTCAGGGCTTCACTCCGTTTGTGGCTGGGTCATGTTCCATCACATGGACAGACCATATTTTTGTCCATCCATGCATTCGTTGATGGACTTCAGTTTGTTTCTACCTTTTGGTTATTGCGAATAATGCTGCTGCTGTGAACATTTGTGTATAGGTGTTTGTTTGAATGCCTATTTTCAATTCTTTCGCGTATATACCTAGGGATTGGTGGGTCAAATGGTCATTTTACGTTTAACTCTTGATGGTTTTTAATCTCATGATTTTGCCCTGAGTCAGTATACACATCGCTGATCTGTTTGCTAATCCTTTTCTAAGAGGGAATGAAGTCCAAGATCTTGAAAAACACTGTATTTTATTATTATTTTTTAAAACATGGAATTCCTCTTTTATTTATTTGCTTTGGGGGGGTAATTAAGTTTTTAGTTATTTATTTTTAGTGGAAGTACTGGGAATTGAACCCAGGACCTTGTGTATGCTAGGCACATACTCTACCACTGAGCTATACACTCCCCTTGAAAAACACTATATTTTAGACCTTAAATACATTCAAATAAACATTTGTCTCATTACTTTACAAAAGTAAATGAAATTTAAATGATCTGCTTCTGATGTAATACGCTGATTTCTACTGATACTAAAATAAATGCTATAATTAAACAAAAACATTTTAATATGTGTTCCTTGTTTTCTAAGTAGATACTATATTGGTACATTACCAAAACATCTGTACTCAAAGAATGAACATACACTTGTCTATACATTTAAAGTGAATGAAAATGTTTCTACTTACCCACATATAATAAATTGCCTGTGTTTTACTATTGCTCACCAATTCTTTATTATTTGTTGGATTAAAAGTAAGGTAATTCTGAAATATAAAGTATGGAAATATATTAAATTACAGTAAATTTTCTGTTTCTCTCTGGTTAAGCTGAATGCTAAAATTAAATAATATTTTTTATTAAAATAAAATAACTGAGTAGGAACATAAAAGACATGATATTTTGTAAACCATAGGAATATAATTGAAATATTGAGTATAAAGTTAATGGTCTTAAATGTGTTCCCTTTCTTATTTATTTATTATAATTCATCATCTATAAATTGAAACAAGCAAAAGTGAAGCAATATTCACCAATAACCTTCATTCTATGTCCTTTTGGACAAAGACTGCTATGTACACATTTCTAAATTTGACAGGGCCATGAGGTAACTTTGAATGAATGCAAAAATACTAGAAGAGGATTCTGATTCCTGCCAAGACGGTGAACAGCATGGGTTGCCTGGCTCCCTTCCCAAAAATCAACCCTGCAGCAGCTGAGGGAAACCTGGAAATCAGAAACTAAACAAAAACCACAATAACAACAAAAAGTGAGGAATCCCTGGGGAGACTTAAGGCACGTGTCTTGAAATGGTGCGTGCACAGGAGGCAGGGGCGGCAGCCTCAGATGAAGGGCTGGAGGAGGCAGCTTTGAGACACAGGTTCAAGAAGCGCTTTCTGAGTTCCATTCCTGCCCCTTCCACCCCACCTCCTATTCCTTGCCTGTTGTGTGCCGTGTCGCTCCAGGAATGTAAACTACCAGTGCCAAAGCCTGCGAGTCAATTTCAGGGCAGCACAAAGGCCTGGGTGGGGTGAAGAGCTGGTGAGAACAAGGGACGAGGCCTCTCAGAGGCTGAACATCAGCCTCCAACCACCTCCTTCTCTGCTTAGGTTAAGGCGATCCCTTTGCTAAAGGCCTGTGAGAAGTAAAAGTAAGTTGTCTTTGTAGGAAGTTATCATCCTGAGCTCCGAATTATTCCTATGCTTTTTAAAGCATGACATCAGGTATTTAATAAAAAAAAAATAACCAGGCCTATGAAAGAGACATCCAAATGACTGAAAAACAACAGAAAAAGAAATCAACAGAAAGAGGCCCCCAGGAGACCCAGGTATTAGCGTCATCGTGCACAGACTGCAAAATACTGAGGAGAAAATGTGCGGGACAGCACAGAACAAGCTGGGTCATCTCCGCAGATAACTCTATTTTTAAAAAGAATCAAATGGAAATTCCAGATCTGGGGGGAAAAAAAAGGTTTAAAAAACTCAAAATATGGTTTAACAGAAAATTAAATATAGCTAAAGAAATTACTAGTTAGTACAAAAGAAGGACAAATCACAGGAGAAAACATCCAGACTGAAGCCTGAAGATACAAACAGAAAATACAGACGCGAGAATAAAAGACCTACGGGAGAAGATGAAAAGGTCTAATTTACCTGTGATTGGAGTCCCAGGAGAGGAAAGAATGTGGTAGAAATAATGTTTAAAGAGACAATGGCTAGAATTTTCCCAAACTAAGGAAAGATATGATACCCCAAGTTCAAAAAACCCCAAGGGATAAGTTGGGTTTTTTTTTTAATCCATATACAATGACATACTCATATACATACAGACACATCATTGAGAAACAGCTGAAACCAAGAGAAAATTTTAAAAGCAGCCGGGGGGAAAGGATTGGGGGGAGACACATAACTTTGAAGAGAGGGATCAGTGAGGTCAACAGCTGACTTCTCAATAGAAATGATGAGAGTCTGAAGACAATGGAATAATAATACCTGTATCTTCAAGGTACTGAAAGAAGATAACCACCAACCTAGAATTCTATACTCAGGGAAAATATCCTTCAAAAATAAAGATAACTACCAGGAGAAATGAGAGCATATATCTCTGCAAAGACTTGTACGTGAATGTTCACGCAGCTTCATTTTTTTAATAGCCACAAACAGGAAACAACCCAAATGTCCTTTAGTTATCTGTTCAGTGAATAGATAAACAAATTGTGGCATATCCATTCAACGCACTACTATTCAGCAATAAAACGGAATAAACTTTTGATACACACAACAGCATGGATGAATCTCAAAAACGGAGTGAAAGAAGCCAGAGCACTCCACAAAAAGGGTCCATTTCTTAATGCTGGAGAGGGTGTGGAGAAAAAGGGGCCCCCCTGTACTGTTAGTGCAGTCACTGTGGAGAACAGCATGAATCTTCCTTAAAAGTCTAAAAATAGAGTTACCATATGATTCAGCAATCCTGCTCCTGGGCATATATCCGGAAAAGATGAAAACTCTAATTCAAAAAGATACATGCACCCCAGTGTTCATAGCAGCGCTATTTACAATAACCAAGATATGGAAGCAACCTAAATGTCCATTGACAGATGACTGGATAAAGAAGATGTGAGAGAGAGAGATACACACACACACACACACACACACACAAAATACACAATGGAATACTACTCAGCCATAAAAAAGAATGAAGACAAATGTCATATGACATCACTTATATATGGAATCTAAAAAAAAATGATACAAAGGAACTTATTTACACAACAGAAATAGACTCATAGCCATAGAAAATGAACTTATGGTTACTAAAGGGGACAGTGATGGGAAGGGATAAATTAAGGATTTGGAATTAACAGATACACACTACTTTATATAAAACAGATAAACAATGAGGACCTACTGTATAGCATAGGGAACTATTTTCAATACCTTGTAATAACTTATGAAAAAGAATCTGAAAAAAGAATATATACGTATAACTGAATCGCTTTGCTGTACACCTGAAACATTGTAAATCAACTATACTTCGATGACAAATATATATATAATATAAAATAAAAGAGTCCATTTCTATAAAATTCTAGGGCATTCACACTAATAAACATTAATAAACAGGAGAGTGGATGTTGGGAGATGGAGAGAGAGGACAGATCCTACCTTGGAGGCCAAAATAAGGAATTTGGGTTTTATTCTAAGGACAATGGGAAGCCACTGAAGGATTCTGAGTAAGGGAGTGATATGGTCGACTGCTGTGGGAAGACTGTGGGGGTGCAGCAAGGATGAAGAAGAAAGATAGGCTGGCAGGATGCTGAGGTCATGCGGGTAGAGATGACTGTGGTGTGGACTCAGTGGTGGCAGTAGAGATGGTTGGAGAGGAAGGATGTCAGCACAGATTCTGGAAGTAAATGGTATTTAAAGCCACTGGGATGCGAATGCCCAAGAAGCAAGTGTGGCAAGAAGAGGGGGAAGAGGAAAAAGAAGAGTCCCCAGAACCAAACCCTGAGGCACACTAAGACTTAGAAGGCGTGCAAATGACAGAAGAACTCACAAAGGAACCCGAGAAAGAACAGCCAGAGAGACGGCAGGGAGTCCGACCCGTGTGCCCAATGGGACTTAACAACATCCGCTGGGTTTGGGAGCACCAGAGACTGTGATAAACGTGGTTTCAGTAAAGCCATGGGTTGGGGGATGGACAAGCGAGCTGTGTGACACTCAGAGAACAAGAAACTACACAGCAGTGAAAGTGCTAGGAATTACAGCTCAAGACTCAGCATGGATGAATCGCAGAAACAATGCTGAACAAAGGAAGCAATAGGTCTGACTCCAAGGTCAGAAACAGGTACAATGAGATACGACAGTACTGAAGGACACATACATCGCTGGAGAAAAGCACAGGGGAACGCCAGGGCATGTGGGACACAACATTTGGGATGGCAATTAGCTGTAGGGAGCAAGGCTGGGGATGGGATGAGGAGGGCACAGGGGTCTTCTGGGGTTTGAGTGATGTTCTAGTTCATGATCCAGTGGTGAGCACACAGGTACATTTTATTTTCCTCCTTAAAATATATACTCTTGTATACATCCCTTATTCAACAATAAAAATATAAAGAGGTCAACTAGAAATGGACACATTGTAATTGACTGTACTTCAACTTAAAAAATAATAATAATATAAAGAGGTCAAAAATTTCTTGCAAAAAAAGCCCAAAAAGTAAATGAGAGATGAAGAAGTAGAGAAAGCAAGTATGGACAGAGCTTCTGAGAAGTTCCAAGGAGGAGGAGCAGAGGGCGTGGCTGGAAGGAGACGTGGGGCCAGGGCAGTTTTCTAAAGGTCAGAGGTTCTAAAGCAGGTTTATTTGCAGGGGAGGGAGGGGTGATGGCGGCAGGAGAGGGCCTTGAGGAGGTCAGATGGCGGGGATCTCATTCGCTGGCCTTTCGTAGAAATTAGAGGAGAAAAGAGAAGACGGTGAGGCTGAAGGTAGGCTGCGGGCTTGGGAGGAGAACAGACCAGTGTCTGGATCCAATGGCTTCTGTTTCCTCAAGTGAAGCACGAGAGAGGTCACCCGCTGAGGGTGGGGGGAAGGGTGGGGGAGTGGGAGGAGGAGGTGCGAAAGTGTGGTCTCTGGAAATGACAAGGACAGCCAGGCCGTGCTGAGAGCTCTCCTGACATTCATGACTGAACTCCAAGCAAGCTGCATCAGCTCAGCCGGGAGGTTCTCACCAGCCGCGGGCAGCCTGCCGGGGGCCCGGGAGCAGAGAAGGCTGACGGCGGAGCTGGCCCGGGGCGGGGGGCTTGTGCAACGGCACTTCCCGCGAGGATGGGGCTGTTCCATCACCCGTGTTGTCAACAATGGCGGCCACTAGCCACACGTGGATGAGGAGTATTGGAAACGTGGCTAGTGAAACAGAGGAAACTAATTTGCACTTTTATTTAATTTTAATCAGTTTAACTTTAAACAGCCACGTGTGCTTAACGAAATGGTGGGATGTGAAGGCAGTATAGAAACTAGCTGCGTTTCTACACACCAGCAATCAGCATCCTGAGGAGGAAGTTAAGAAAACAATTCGCTCAAGAGCATCCAACAAAGGACTTAGGGATAAATTTAACCAAGGAGCTGAAAGATTTGTACACGGAAAATGACAAATGCTGAAAACAACAAAACGAAAAAAATTCAAGAAGACGTAAATGGCAAGACGTCCTGTGCTCATGGCTCGGAAGACGATGCCAAGATGGCAGTACCACCCGAAGCCGTCCATAGGTTCAGTGCAACCTCTATCAAAATTCCAAAAGCGCTTTTTGTAGCAATAGAAAAATCCATCCAAAATGCCCCCGTATGGCTGGCGGTGTTACGAAGTAAGGAAATTTTCTTCAGGGAACAGAGGCACGCTGGGGGCAGAAAGGAGTGAAAATGGGCACAGATGTGCCTTGCTGAGTGTGGTCACCCAGACGCCCTGGGTTCTAGTTCCTGCCAGCCGCACATGTACTGACCACAGAGACTGGCACACAGTAGGCACTCAATCAGTGCAGGTGAATGGAGGCTGCAAGGATGACTGTGACAGCAGAGCAAACACTCTGGGTGCCCTTGGCAAGTCACCTCGTGCGAACTGAGAATAACAACTTCCCTATATTTATTTTTTCAACTTCCCTATATTTAGAGCAGTTCAGAGCGTGTTTCTAGAATAAGAAAGGCCACTAGCCGAGTGACTGTAGACAGATAATTTAATAGTTAACAGTGGTATTCCACAGTAACATCTCCTGCCCAGCACGACTGCATGGAGGTACTGAATCTAAAGCACTTAGCAGAATCTGGCACATAATAAGTGCTTGAAAAAAAAAACAGCCATTATCATCAAAAATTTAAAATGAGATCACGGGTATGAGTTTAAAGAGCTCCAGTGCGCCGTAACAAAACTCCAGTAAAACGAAAAGCAGTGTGCTGACCCGGCTTCAGTGTGACTTTCCGTGGATCGTGAC